ACCCTAAACCCTAAACCAAACCGCAGTCCGACGCTCCTGACCCAAGAGGTCTGGAGCAGCCCCTAAGTCGCGAATTCGGGGCCCCGACCCCACATTCCCCCTCCAAGGGTGAAGGGTTTTCGGGGTCTATATGTCTCTATGTATATATATATAGATAGATACAAAGATAGATAGATAGATAGATAGATAGATAGGGTTTAGTGTAAGCATTGTGTTTCGAACTATGGGCTCTATGAGTTCAAGCCTGATCATGACGGCCCATAGCCATCAGCGATTTCGGGCTGAGAGCCCTAGAATTGTGTTGTTAATCCCATGTCGCCCTGTGAGGCGAAAAGGTCCTTAGGATTTAGGGTTCGGGGCTTAGGGCTCAGGGTTTAGGTTTATTAATTTCAGGGTTTAGGGCAGGTTTTGGCTCGCTTGGCAGGTCGGCTTTCCAAGTCGCCGGGAGGGAATGCGTGTAGGGTTTCGGGTACGGTGGTCAGGCCCTGTTGGGTGAGGTCATCTTTGCATGATTTGCTTCACTTTGTCGTTTGTTGGAAGCATCTCGTCGTCTCAGTGGGTGACCTCCCGAACCGATTCAACAATCCGATCTAGCTACCAGGGCTCCTTTAAGGGTTCCTTGAAGGGATCTACGGTTTCTTTCAGGGGTGTTAGGGTTCGGGGTTTTGGCTTCAGGCTTTAGGGTTTAGGGTTTCGAGAGGTGAGCGTTTTCCTCGATGCCTCCATCCAGAGTGACGAGTGCATGCGCAAGTGGTTCAAGAGGCGCGAAGAGGAGGTGAAGAAGATGAACAGAGGAGGGGGGGGGGTTCTGCTCGCTTCGGGAACATTGCATTCAGGGCAAAGAGGATCGGGTCAAAACCAGAGCATGCCACATGCATTCCTTGCCCGACCCGGATTTGGCAGTATCAGCGCTCGGCGTCGGAATTCCAAAAGCTCTACTGTACAAGGCCACAGTACTCGGGCTCGTTCGTGTGGTCACCCCTAAACTGGCGCCCTCAAAGCGATCGAAGTGTCTCAAGTCCGGGTACAGGGCGACACTCGTCGAACTGGGGCTCTTCTCTGTAGTCTCGTAGCACTGAACCCTAAACACCTCAACCCTGAAATGCCAGACCCTACACCCTGAACCCTGAACCCCAAGTCGTCATTGCCTTTTCGTTGGTATGCCTTGTTCCGTTTTCGGGTGGTGTTGAAGTGGTCGGGAATTGGCCCCGGCACGCTCTTGCGGTGGTTTTCCTTTTGGTCCTTCACTGCTTAGGGTCTACGGCCTAGCTCAGTGATATTTATTGTGTGAGCCTGCAACCATCCTACACCCAAGCCCTAAACCATATCCGACCAAGCTTCGGAAGAGAGCCCAGGCGTACCCCAGGGCATTCAAACCATCGTCGGAGACATGTTCGGTGAGCTCGGGATCAAAGTTTATTTCTCCCTTGAGACCGACCTCGATGATGCGTTGGCAGCCTTTGCGGAGGCGGATGGCGCTGCCATTCTGAGTGGGGACAGCGACTTCTTCCGATATGAGGGGGCCACTTACCAGGTCTACGAAGGCTTTGAGATAGTGCGGTCATGTCTCGAGCTGATCCCGGCAGATGGAACCCATGCACGCGCCGGAAAGCTTGCGATTATCCCCAAGCCGCAGATGGTGGAGAAGACCCCAGCCTTTATAGACGTGCAGCGCACTGGCATCTACACTCGAGGGGCATGCTCTCCCCTCGTACGTCTAGTGGGAAATCCTCATGCATGGCTTCGGCCCCTTCGTCAGGCTCTTTATTCACGTTTAGGCCTTCGTGGACCGGTGAGAGAAGTGTTTCCCAGCTGGGATGTTTCTGCTCGGAAGGTTGTTTGGAGCGACGACGAAGTTTTTCCAGACGGGGCCATGGATCAGTTTTTGGAGGATCCCATCGGGGCCTTGAAATCTCTAGTTCCCGACCTGGTGGATCAAGTTCCAGAGCTGGACACTTTGCAACGCTGGAGGCACATCTTTGGTGTGCATGCCGTGGTGCATGAGCTGTGTTGCGCAGCGAACGACTCTTCCTTGTTCCGCGCCCTCGTCGAGGATGAGGTGCTGGCTGCCTCCGCGCCCTGGCGACGAGGCAAAGGAAAGGGGAAACCTGGCCCGCCACAGGTACGCACGCAGGGGCTTTCCGGGCCAAGTGGAAAGAACTTCAAAGGCCACGGCAAAGGCAAGGCCAAAGGCAAAGACCTGGGCAAAGACTGCAACAAAAAAGGCCACAGCAAAGGCCGATGCAAAGGCCAAAGCAAAGGTGAAAGCAAGGGCCAGGGCAAGATGGCAGGCAAGGATCTTTATTGAATGCCCGCACCCCATTAAAAAGACTTTCAAGGCGCTAAGGCTTGACAATATACATATATTTTTCCCTATATTCGTTACGAATACTTCTTTTTTTATTTATTCTTATTTTTATATATTCTAATATAATATTTTTAGTTTATGAATTTCTGAAAAAAACAATATTTCAAAAGAAAAAAGACTCTAAATAAAAATAACTTAAAATTTTATAGATGATGAAATAGAATATGATTTCTTATTATAAATTGATAATTTTCTTTTCTATGAAATATTATATATTTCTTTTGGTTTTATAAAGACTAGGAGAATTTAGATTCTAAATGATTATAATATTCTCTGAAAATTATATTTCACGATTTACAATATAATATGATTTTTTTTAAAAAAATCGATAGATTTAAAATTCACTCTTAAAGATATTTATTATTAATATATATAATATTATATATTGATATAAATTATATATAATTTATTTTTTTCTATATATTTATATATATTCTTTTGAATAGATTCTTACTTTCGTATTATTTATATGATTTCGGATAAAATATTAAGATAATTTTCTTTATTGATTAGAAATTATACTGTGGAATAAATAAATATTATTGGCTTTGAATGAATAAAGCTCAGAGTGTTCTTACGGTTGTTGTAATTTTTTGTCGGTTTTGATAATTTTGTAGAGTTTTTACGATTTTCTACTTTTTCCGATTTCTGATGATTTTTAGATTGTGATTTCTTAATTTTTTTCTTAATTTTGGCGATTTGTTAGATTTTCAAGAATTTTTTCTTATTAGATTTTTATGTCGAGTCTATAATAGATATCGAAAAGATATATTTATTAAGGTAGGCATTGGAGCCTATAGGCCTGACCTTAGAAAATAAATCTTCTAAGATAGTCTACTGGGCAAATCTCAGAAAAAGCAAGTAGGAGAAGGAGGGGTTTAATTCATAATATAAGTGCAAGAAGGAAAGTCCCAGTAGATGAAATAAATGTAAGCAGCGAAGTCCTAAATCTTAAAAATCCTAAAAACCCTAAAAACCGTAAACCCTAAACCCAAACCTGAGAGCCAAACCCAAGCATTCTACAGCCTGAACCCGGAATCCTGTTTATACGGTTGGTGCAAACGCTGCTAAGTATGCCTATAGAAGGACGGGCCCAATGGGGAAAATAAAAGAAGCAGGAGGTGCCAGCAGGTGAAACAAGAGCAAGGACAAAGGTTCCAGCAGTAAGGGAAATAAGCCAAGACGGAGAGAATCCTAGCGAAGGGAAGACGGACCTCGCAGGTGAGAAGCGGCCTAGAGTGCCAACTACGGGCTCAGGAGAACCGTCTGTAGCTAGTTGTGGCAGGCAACTGAGTGCAACGGTATGTCGCCGAAAGCACAACACACAAGTGGCGAGCGCGATATAGAAACATCAAGCAAGTCAGAATACCGCGATGGGCAGAATGATATAGCAAGAGGATACGAGCTACAAGAAAGATGGTCCCAGCTGAAACAAGCAACAAGAAGGGTTCCAGCAGGTCAAACAAGTGAAATAAATGAAGAGTCCTAGTAGCTGAAACGTGCAAAAAGGTCCAGTAGGCGAAATAAATGTGGAAGAAAGGTGAATCAAGTGCAAGAAGTATAAAAAGGCCGGGCAAGGAGAAATAAATGAATCAAGAGTAGGAGGGGGAATCCAGCAAATACAAGGAAGACCGATAAAAAGATGAAATCTACAAGAAAGAGTCCAATAAGAAGGACCAAATAGATAAAATGAAATACTGCTATCCCTTCTGCCAATATATTGGTCGTTCTTGCCTCCCTATTTAACTATGAATCATGGGATTATGACGCCTGTCATCCCTATGATCGTTACCAATTTTATCGTGTCTCATGTCATCTGCCAACTATGATTATTTATATCTGTTTACTGTCATCGAATTTAAGAAATAAGAAATAAAGAGATAAGAAACATGAGAAAAAATAAACAAGGACGAAACATTAACCAAGAATAAATATGAGATAAAACTAAATAAGAATAGGCAAGGAAGAATAATTAAGAAAAATTAGATAGAAGAATTGAAGAAGAATAATAATTAAGTAAGAATTTATAACGAGAATAATTAAGAAAAACTAGGTAAATAAATTAAAGAAGAATGATAAATAAGCAAGAATAAGAAAGATATAATCAAGAGATTATCAATAAGCAAGAATATATTAAATAAGAATATATAAGAGATAATAATTAAATAAGAATATATAAGAGATAATAATTAA